CATAAATTACAAGTAGTAAGAAGGAAAGGAACAGGGAACGTGAGAGAATAACTGGAGGGTGGGGAGAGGAGTGGATTTACTTTAACAGGATGGTCAGGGAAGGCCTCTTGTGGTGATGACATTTATACTGATTCAGGCAAAGCATCCAGCACGTGCCTAGCGCTCAGAAGTTGGTCAGCAAATGGCCTCTTTGGGTGATGACTACCTCACATTTGTGTGTGGCCCATTACAGTTTTCCAAAAGCTTTTTTTTTAAAGGCCATCTTAACTTTACAATTTTTTTAAGACAGAGTCTTGCTCTGTTGCCAGGCTGGAGTGCAGTGGCACGATCTTGGCTCACTGCAACCTTTGCCTCCCAGGTTCAAGCGATTCTCCTGCCTCAGCCTCCGGAATGGCTGGGACTACAGGGGCATGCCCCCCCACACCCAACTAATTTTTGTATTTTTGGTAGAGACAGGGTTTCACCATGTTGGCCAGGAAGGTCACCATCTCTTGACCTCGCAATCTACCTGCCTCAGCCTCCCAAAGTGCTGGGATTACAGGCGTCAGCCACCGTACCTGGCCTAATTTTTGTATTTTTAAGAGAGATGGGCTTTCACCATGTTGGTCAGGATGGTCTCTATCTCTTGACCTCGTGATCCACCCACCTTGGCCTCCCAAAGTGCTAGGATTACAGGCATCAGCCACCGCACCCAGCCTGACTTCATAATTTTTAAATATTTTATTTTATTGTAGAGACAGAGTCTCACTATGTTGCCCGTGCTGGCCTCGAACTCCTGGCCTCAAGCAATACTCCTGCCTTGGCCTCCCAAAGTGCTGGGATGACAAGCAAGAGCAATGTGCCCGGCCATTTTTCCATAAAGCTTTTACATGGTGTCTTCTCTGAACGCCCCGCCTGCCGGTTGTGTTCTACAGAGCTGTTCCTGCCCACTACTCACCCCTCCAATTTTTTTTTTTCCAGAAAAGAAAATAGAACCAGAAATGTCATCTCGAGACAATGTTAGAGACAGAGTTTTTCCTCCTCTGAGTCTTTTATGGGAAAGAGAGGATGACTCATTTACTCTGAAATTTGGGCTTCCAGGAAGGGCCTGCCGTATCCTTGGAGCCTCCTCATTCTCCTGTCTCTCCCCGTTCCCCGACCTCCGGAAACCCTGAGTGGGGATGTTGGCTCCCAGTGGGGCTGGGGGCTCTGTCTGGCTTTTCTCCCCACCCTTGCTGCCTTCTAACATTTTCCCCCTCATCTGACATGGGAGGGGCAATGGTTAATCCCGGAGGAAGGGCAGAGGACGAGGGCCCCACATCCTGGCTCTGCCTCTGACAAGCTGTGTGACATTGGGAGTCAGCTGACTTATCGGAGAAGGACGGACTTGGGCCGTGTCTGGATCTTAAACTTTATTGGGTCCCTGACTTCTTACAGAAACTGATTCGTGCTTCTCAAGAGGCTGCACATGCATTTTACACACTATTTTAGGCGCCCCATAAATCTTCCAGATTCAGGCTCCACGTTGACAACTCCTTAAGTGACAGTGGTCAAGGTACCCACCAACACTTAACCTGGACAGTTTGGAAAGTTCCTTCTCTCTCTCTCATTTACCTGTGACGATCCTCTAAAATGTGCTGGCCACATAGTACTCCTAATTCCATTTTGTTGATGAGGAAATGAAGGCCCCAGGAAGAGATGTGAGTTGCTCAGAATGACCCCTCTGCCTGGAAACCCTGCTCTTTCTGCGTCGATCGTCACAGCTGCCTTCCTCATAGCTGCACCCACTTACCCCTCCCAGTCCTATCCGCAAACTTTACCTCTCTCAGAGTGGCGGTGGGGGAGAGGCTTAGTAGGCTAAAGCTACTCTGGTGCCAAAAAAGGTTAATGGGCATGGGTGGGGGCAGATGTTCCTGGATCAGATTGGCCATGCCTTGGTTTCTGAAGCCTTTTCACTGTTCCCTGGCTCAGAACCCCACCCCGCCTCTCTTGTGAAGCCCAGCCTGGCCCAAAGCAACAGCTAGGACAGGTCCCAGGGAAAGCTGAGCTGGAAGCCTGGGGCCTGGCGTCAGCAATATGTAAAGGGGCCTGTCCTGGAAAAGGTCAAGCTCAGCTTTTGTCAGGGCCAGGCTTGTTCAAGGAGAGAGGCGTCCTCTCACTCCAGGTGAGCCCTTCTGTGCAAAGCTGTAGGACAGAAGTGACTCCGGAAGGAGTGAGGGAGAGGCCACCTCCCTGCTGAGCTGTCAAGCAGGCCTGCCCCTACCTGCTGACTCACCTGCCTACCCCCAGCGGCCTGTGGCCATTTCCATTTCTGCAGTTCAAAGGTCATGCTGGCGCCCCATCATCACTCAGCTGTACGGGATGGGTGGGCACTGGCACTGTTTAGAGAGCCTGGGCCTCCTCCCTCCGAAGCCCCAGAGATGGCCAGATGCTGCTGGGGCCTCTGGATGCTTTTCGCCAGCGATGTGAGAAAAAGTGCTTTTCTGAGAGAAGGGAAGAGACCAAGGCAATTTATTATGAATGCTCCCTCGTTGCAGGGTTAATCCTGTGCTCCTCTGCCCATTTCCCCCCACCCCATCTGGAAACTTCATTCACATTTGGCACAGATGAGCCACTCCTCCCTCCTCCCCCTTCTTGAGAATCAGTCTCTGAGCTTCTGTAGAACGAGGTGCTCTGATCCTCTGTCTTCCACACTGCCTCCCTTCCTCCCCCAGGTGTCTCCCTGTCCACCCTGTCCTCGGCTCTCCAGGCCTCCTCCTCTGGTTTCTTCCTCAGAAGACAGTGTCACCCCCCCTGCTCACCTGCACCAGGGGTCTACATTTCTAACTTTGGAAGTGCCTCTTGGACATGTCCACGTGGGCACCTGGCCATCCACTGAAATCCAGCCTCTCCAAAAGGGCTGATTCCTCCCCTACTTCCTTCTCACATAATTGTGTGGCCAGAGCAGCCAGACCCATGGCCCCATTACCACCAAACCCTCATTCCCCCCTCACTGCTTGGGCCCCCTTGGCTTCCCCTAGGCCAGCTCGCTGTAGGCGCGCACCACCAGGCCTGGGCTAATTTTCGTTTGTTTGTATTTATTGTTTATTTATCTTGAGACGGAGCCTTGCTCTGTTGCCCAGGCTGGAGTGCCGTGGCGAGATCTCGGCTCACCACAACCTCCGCCTCCCGGTTTAAGTGATTCTCATGCCTCAGCCTCCCCAGTAGCTAGGACAACAGGTGCACACCACCATGCCCAACTAATTTTTGTATTTTTAGTAAACACAGGGTTTCACTATGTTGGTCAGGCTGGTCTCCAACTCCCGACCTTGTGATCTGCCCGCCTTGGCCTCCCAAAGTGCTGGAATTACAGGCATGAGCCACCGCACCCAGCCTGTTTTTATTTTTTGTATTTTTTGTAGAGATGTGGTCTGACTATGTTGCCCAGGCTGGTCTTGAACTCCCAGGCTCAAGGAATCCTTCTGCCTCAGCCTCCCAAAGTGCTGGGATTACAGGCGTGAGCCACCGCACCCAGCCTCCCTTCTCATTCTCGAAAATGGAATTTCTTCAGTCTTGTTTTCTGCAGACTGAGCCTTCTGACTCCTTTCAGCTTTCCTCACTGCAGAGGAGCATCTCCTGCCGCTTTTCATTGTCACCTTAGTTTATTTTCTGAGCCACTCAAGAGGGTTTAGTAGGCTCCTGCTTTCTGTCTCTCTCTCCACCACCCCATCTGTCATCTTCCTGTCTTTTGGTTCACAACTTTCCAGCATTTGTTCTAATAGGTAAGGACAGCACTGAATTCCACCAAAGCAATTCAACACTGAAAAGGGGCGCTACTCAGTATAAGCCAAGGAACCTTGCAAGAGGCCCACAGTCAAGTGTGGAAGACAGAATACACACAAATAACTGGACTATGGAGCAGGAGAATACAGCGCTCTCCCATTCAGGAGAGTCTAGTAGTCCAAGAGAGCAGGTGACCACATGGGGCACTGTTGGCCTGTCCTTGTGGGTGACCTCTCTTGCTGGCCTGTGACCAGGTCACCACAGCTGCTTTCAGCCCTGTGACCCTTGTGGGAGCCCATGCATGAACTGGGCAGAGGAATGATGGATGCCCTTTGTGTGCTTATTTTTTCTACAGAGTGAGTTGTTGTCTTTCGGTGACCTCTCTTGGCCATTTACAGCTGCTCTTGACATTCACTTTAACTGGTTTCTCCAGGGAGAGGAGAGAGGAGTGAGCAGAAGGCATTTGTGTAATTTGCCCACTGCTGTCTTAACCTGGCATCGCCACATGTGCATGTGGAGTGGACATTAGCCAATAGTTGACACTTTGCTCACAGATGCCTGAAGTTTATGTGGCCAGTGGGGTTCAGGTTCAGACTGAGATCCATCTGAGGTTGACATGGCTCCTCCTAGGATCCAGGCACAAAGTTAAGTGCTGTCCGGCACACCAGTCATTCTCAGACTCAGAAGTGCATCAGCCTGGCCAACACGGTGAAACCCCGTCTCCACTAAAAATACAAAAAAATTAGCCAGGCGTGGTGGCACGCACCTGTGTTCCCAGCTACTCCGGAGGCTGAGGCGGAAGAATTGCTTGAACCCAGGAGGCGGAGGTTGCAGTAAGCCAAGATTGAGCCACTGCACTCCAGCCTGATGACAGAGCAAGACTCTGTCTCAAAAAAAAAAAAAAAAGAAATGCATCAGATGCACTTGTCAAAACACAGGTTCCTAGGACTCGTTCCCAGAGCTCCTGATTCAGTGGGTTTGGGGTGGGGCTGAGGAATTCACATTTCTTTCTTTTTTTTATTTTATTTATTTATTTTTTTTGAGACGAAGTCTTGCTCTGTCGCCCAGGTTGGAGTGTGGTGGCGTGACGTCAGCTCATTGCAACCTCCATCTCCTGGGTTCAAGCGATTTTCCTGCCTCAGCCTCCTGAGTAGCTGGGATTATAGGCGCCTGCCACCACGCCCGGCTAATTTTTTTTTTTTTTTTTTTTTGAACAGAGTCTTGCTCTTGTTGCTCAGGCTGGAATGCAGTGGCAGGATCTCAGCTCACTGCAACCTCTGCCTCCTGCATTCAAGCTATTCTCCTGCCTCAGCCTCCTGAGCAGCTGGGATTACAGGCACCCGACACCACACTTGGCTAATTTTTATACTTTTAGTAGAGATGGGGTTTTGCCATGTTGGCCAGGCTGGTCTCGAACTCCTGACCTCAGGTGATTTGCCCGCCTAGTCCTCCCAAAGTGCTGGGATTACAGGCGTGAGCCACCACACCTGGCCTAATTTTTGTACTTTTAATAGAGATGGGGTTTCACCGTGTTGTCCAGGCTGGTCGTGAACTCCTGACCTCAGGTAATTCACCCACCTTGGCCTCCCAAAGTGCTGGGATTACAGGCATGAGTCACTGTGCCTGGCTGGGAATTCACATTTCTAATAAGTTTCCAGGTGAGGCTGCAAGTCCTGATGGTACAGGGTCTGTGGGAACCTCTGCTGTGCAGTGTCATGTGTCATCACCCACCTCCCTTTGGGCAGGTAGTGCCACTCCCAGCTTACCAAGGAAAAAACTACAGCCTCCGCAGGCCAAGCAACCTTGCCAATGCCACACAGCTGGAGGGTGCTAGGGAGCCAAACTGCACCTGCTGCCTTGCCTTTTGCCCCCAGGGCAGTGTGGCTGGGGTGGGTGTGACAATGCCCCTCCAAATTTTTGCTCCAGGAAGGGCAGTAAGCAGAGAGGGCAGGCTTGGAGTAAGCAGTACTGGGAGGTGGTCACACAATCACTGTTGGGCTGAGAGTCATTCCTTGGGTGGCCACAGTGTTTTAAAGACACTTTTAGCAAGGCACAGTGGTGCGTGCCTGTAGCTCCAGCTACTAGGGAGGCTTGCTTGAGCCCAGGAGTTTGAGACTGACCTAGGCAACATGGCAAGACCTCGTCTCGGGCTGGGCACGGTGGCTCACGCCTGTAATCCCAGCACTTTGGGAGGCCGAGGCAAGTGGATCACGAGGTCAAGAGATCAAGACCATCCTGGTCAACATGATGAAACCCTGTCTCTACTAAAAATACAAAAAATCAGCTGGGCATGGTGGCGCGTGCCTATAATCCCAGCTACTCAGGAGGCTGAGGCAGGAGAATTGCCTGAACCCAG